CAGTCAGTTTGCAACTTACTTGTAAGACTGTACTAGTTGTTAAAATAGCAACACCTGAAATATTTTCCTATCAATTCATAAATTGCTGCTGCCCAGATCCCTTCATTGGTTCCCTCTGCTCCCTCAGCCATCCCAGGCCCCCCTAGACTTCTCACACCTCCCCTTGAGTCAGCAACCAAATAGTTAAGTCATTAAACATTAGGGAGCCTCTGGACCTTAATTAATTCTTTGGCCAATCTATTCTGATTAGTGGGTCTCTACACTGTGTCAGCTGTTAACAATTTGGGATATTGTCCCTGCCTCTAGCCTCCATCCTCCCTTCCTCACAGACCCAGTTTACCCATGGAAGGTTCTATCTTTGCTGATATAGGTCCTTGGTTTATGAAATGCTGAATCTGGAAAATGCAGCAAAGACAGAAATTGAAAGGTGGAAGGAAAGAGAAATTGAGTGATCTATATAATAAAGAGTTGAACAGAAGAGATAGAAAAGAAGAGAAAGCCTTGAAGGCTAAAGTCTGAGAAGTAATGCCATTGTGTTTGCTGAACATGTGGTTCTGGAGCAATAGCGCAATTCAGTAAGTTAAGTACGGGAGGAAAGATTTCTTGAGACGTGTTGCTAAGAATTAGTCTTCCTTGAATTGCCCAAGAGACATGAGAAAAATATGGGAATTTGCCCTTAATTACTGCTGAGCTCTGCTTCTTGAAAGTCTACTGAATACAGAGACTAGGCCACAGAGAGCCCTGGACGTATGAAGGTTACAATCAAAGAATCTCTAACATTCCTTCTATGTTAAGTAGAAATAAAACACGTGAATTGACCCCCTCAAAGGTAGTTCACCTTCTATAGGTTCTGTAGGTAAGATGAAAACCTATGGGGTCACAGAGTACTAAACTCAGTAGGTCACACTCAGTAGAAGAGTCTTGAATCTACCTATAGTCCACTGTGAGTTCTTAGGAAAGACTCTTACCCCTATGGGTCTCAATACTTTTGTTTGTAAAATGGGGATGATGATGTTTATTGCTGTTGCTTTTTTTGGAAGTTGTTTTTGCTGTTGTTATATTTTTTGAGTTCTGACTGTGTGCCGGACACTCTGATTTATGTCTATCCATTAATTAAATCCTTACAGCAGGTCTATGAATTACATGTGATCATGTCCTTTTCACGAAGTAGACCCAGAAAACATGAGGCACTTGCTCAGGGACTCCCAGATCAACAGAGGAAGAGCTGGGATTCAGCGTCTTCTCTTGCTCCAAATCCAGAGCTTTTTCCTTTAGAACATATGGCTTCCCAGCCTGCCTGGGAACCCTGAATGGAACTCATGAGCAAGCTTTTGTATGGAAGAAGGCTTTGAAAAGTGTAAAATGCCATAGATACGTACATTTACATACATTATTAACTACTCATCCTCTAAAGCACTCACTTTACCTTTTGCCATTTCATCAGAATTGCCCCTCCATACTTGGGTGGATGCTGCTTTGGACAATTCAGATCCCCTCTCAACGAAGGACCTGTAATTAATAACTCCAGCTGTTGGGAGCACCATCCCTAGGATGGCTCTCAGGGATGCTACAACTGTACAGAGTGAGTTAACCCAAGGTCACACCCTCCCTGGGCAGCCCATATCCAATGACTGATTAATTCAGGGGTATAAAGACTTGGCCGTCTCGGCCTAACTTTGGATCACTTTGGAGTGCCTTCTCAGTCTGCCAATCCTGCTTCTGACCTGCCCACTTCCACGGGTGCTAATCCCAAGGCACTGCCAAAAAACATCCTAAGTGCTAAACACCTTCTGAGTTTACTTCTTCAGGGACTCAGCCGGTGACAATACTGTATTATAGTCAGTTCTTCATGAGTCTAAAAGACTCTGCTAATCTGAAAGCTTCTTGAGGGCGAGGAAGCTCGCTTTATTCATTCCTAAATCATCACTGCTTGGTCTGACATCAAGTCCAGAAAAGAGGTTCTTTATATGTAAAATGAAGGAGAAATATACCTGTGAACTTCTAGGGCAATAATAATATTGGTTAACATTTATGTAGTATTCACAATTTGCCAAATACTATTTTAAGGGATTTGAACCCATCAACTCAATTAACTCTCACAACGGTCCTAGGAAGTTATTATTCTTACTCCTATTCCATAGATGAATAAAAGGATGCACCCAATAGTAAAAGTTCTGCCCAAGGCTGCAGATCAGGGGGTGGATCTGTGTTTTGATTGCTGAAGGTCACTTTCCTAACTGCTACTCCTTACCACTTCTAGTATCCCTGTGCCTACCAGCCTCTCATCTTCCAATTTATCAGAAAGAAATCGAGAAGAGCTCAGTAAGGGAGAAGGGGGGGAATAGTCCCTTCATTCCAAGGGCCTGGAGTCATCCCAGAACGTTTCCAGTGATGAAATGTCTGCTCTGTGTGCCAAGGCGGCGGGGCTGGCACATTCAGGGTGGAGGGCTCCAAAGCCCCCCAGGTGACTTGGGGGCACATTGAGACTTGGGAACCACTGAGGCAGACAGCAGTTGGCAGTTTCAGGCACACAGAAGGCACTTACAAACATGCCAAACAGAGGCCCAGGGATGTGAAATGATCTGGCAGTGGCCACGGTGGCAGGGAGAGAGAAGCAGCCAAGACTCTCTCTGTTTCAGGGTCCCAGCCCAGGACTCTCCTCGCTGCACTTCCTGAGGCTGGGCCAGGAATCTGCCCTGGGCACGGGGAACCACATACCTCGCGCGCGTGCATCTAATGATTACTCAGGAAGCGGAGGCTTTGGGGCTGACAAGTGCTGCACCGGAAAGGGGAGGGAGAGCCTGTCAGGAGGGGGTCCATGGAGCCAGCTCCCTCAAAGCATTGTCCTTTCCTTCCTCCCACAGGATGCCAGGAGCCCCGCAGAAAAGGGACTCATTTGTCTTCCTTCCCAACACAATAACTTGCCGCTGGCCTTTCTCTCAGGCCTTGCTCAGAGCAACAGGATACAGTGTCTGCCAGAAGAGAAGGAAGGAAGGAGGGAGGAGAGGGAAATGGAAGGAGCTCAGAATCTCCAGGCCCCCAGCCTGGACCCTGGACCCTGCACAGCCCAGTACCATGAGGCCTGGGACCCAGCCTAGGCGTTTCTGTGTCCAGTGGGGCCTGGGAGGAGAAATCATTTCCTGTCACCGGGCAATCCTTAATCAGATGTAGGCTGAGTAACCATGAAAAGCTGAGCTCTCTTTTCTGGGTGGCCTCTCCAACTTTTATCTTGATCTAATCTTCTTCGCACATTTATAGAAGGAAAATAAATAGGAGGCTCATCAGAATGGGCCTTCTTTTTTCCGTTGATGTTAAAAAAGAAGAATGCATGCTTTGGAGCTTTTTCTCAAGCTTTTTTTTTTTTTTAGCAGTTGAGATGTTTCTAGTGTCACTCCAGACCTACAGCATGAGAAAATATGTGTACATGTATGTGTGTGTGCACGTGTGTGCATGTGCATGGAGGTGGGGAAAGGGGCGTGGCAGGAGCTTGGCCATGGCAGAGATGCAAGGTAGTGTGGGTTGGTGAACTGGAATCAGTACTGCGATCCACCATCATTGTAGGTATTAGCAAAACAATGAACAAATCAATACATTTTAACAAATGTTTATTGAACTCGAAGTATATGCCAAACACTGCTGGGAATGTGTAGCACATAGCTGACCCAGAAACTTACAGTTCAGTCAGTGGCTCAGACAGGTAGTGGATAACCAAGAGAGTTAGAATTGCTCGTCCAGCCAGTTAGTTGGCTGGGAGTCTGAGGGACCTTGG